CTCCCTCTCCCTCTCCCTCTCTCTCTCTCTCTCTCTCTCTCACACACACACACACACTTCTGGCCCCCCACTCTTTCAGACATCTGACCCTGTTCTGCTCTCATACAAGAAGGAGGTTATCGTTCCACAGTGAGTTCTCCCTCATGGCCACAGGGTGGCTGCCAGCAGCTCCAGGTCCCACATCATCATGTGCGGAGGGTCTGGGAGGAGAAACTGTGGCTGGGATGTAAAATAAATAACTTTAAAAAAAAAAACTGCTGTCTAAGTATACTGGCTATTTTGTTTTACATAAAATATAAATAAATCCCATAAATGCTAAGAAGGAGGAGGAAAGAAAATACAAGAAATAAGATTCTTCTTCTGAGAACAAAATCTTAAAGCCAGTTTTCCCAGGCTGAATTTGACGGGTTTGTTCATAATGGGTGAGGTTAATCCCATATTGAGAGGGCTTAAAAAGAGGGGGATGCTGAAAAGAAATTCAAGTTATAGCGGAAGAAATGCATGCTGGGTATTAAAAACACTTGTAAAGCCAAATTGTTGATATGCCGCCCATCTCTTAAGCACAAGTTATGAAATTCTTCTTAAATCTCATCTTGGTCTCCCAACTAAATCCTCCTTAACTTCAGGCTATATTTGTTAAAGCGATTTAAGCTCAGAGAAATTCAGGTCTTAAATATTCACTAACCTTGTTTTAGACCAAAAAAAAAAAAAATCTTCAGGCTTGGGGATATTCTTAGCACTTGGTATTTTAAAAACTACAATATCCAAAGTTATGTAGAAGAGATTAGTGGCCCCGTGGCTGTGGTGAGCTGGAGGTTTCCAAGGCTAAGCAATAAAAGTTACCACCACAAAGTGTCCAGGACACATAAGGAGGTTAGCCAAGTGACTTGGTGACAGGTTAGCATACAGGGGATGTCTTCCAGGAAATGAAGCCATCAAGGAGCAAGGCTTGGAGATTGGAGAGAGGGCTGTTTGTAAAGTGCTTGCTGCTCTTGCAGAGGACCCCATTTTGGGTTCCCAGCACATAGGCCAGTAGGTTCACAACCACCTGTAACTCCAGCTCCAGGGGGAATCTGACTCCCTCTTCTGGCCTCTGCAGGTAACTGCAGGGACATGCATGTAGAAACAGATGCCCGAATTCTTCCACCGTATCTGGAGGCTAGCAGAGGCAAACCATGCTGAGAGCTCATTTTGAATGACTATTTAAACTTGAAAGGTGGCAGAGAAAGGAATCCAGGTGAGGAGACCTCCAAGCACCTGCCTCATGGGACCTGCCAGGACACCCACGGAGCAGACGGGGGGGGGGGGGGGGGTGTCTCCCTCCTGGACTCTCCCACGTGGGTGCTGAAAACACATGTATTTTTGACCTTTAAGTCAGAGAGTGATTGGGGGCCTCTTAAGGGACAAGCAGATCTCTGAGAAGCATGGGACTCTGCTCTGAGAATGGGGATGGGCGAGGTCTTCTGTGTACAGGTGTGAGCATCCTCCAGCAGCACATGCCCACTTCGGAGGGGGGGCAAGCAAGGAGGGCACCACAGGGGGACATTATCCAAGTGCTGGCCTTCCATGTCACCTAAAACTAATTTTGTTTTATTTATTTATTTGATACATGGTCTCACTACGTAGCAGCCCTGGCTGTCCTGGAGCTCGCTGTGTCGACCAGACGAGCCTGCAACTCACCGAGATACGCTTGCCTCTGCCTCTCAAAAGCTGAGACTAAAGATGTGTGTCACCACACCTGGGTATATATAGAAAAACAGTAGAGCCAGTGACACTCCTGTCTGCCTTCTCTGTCATACAAGCTGACTGCATTTGTGACTTTTCCCATGACTGTGACAAAATATCTCCTAAAAGCTATTTACAGAAAGGGGAGCTGATTTTGATTCGCAGTTTAAGGACACAACCCATCGCGGTGGGGAAGACATGGCCACAGGACCATCAGGTCCCACAGCATCCACAGTCAGGAAGCAGAGAGAGGTGAATGCTGGTGCTCAGCTCACTCTCTCCTTTTTATTCAGTCCAGGCCCCCAGCCTGCAGAATGGCACTGCCCACATTCAGGGCAAGTTTTCCCACCTCGATTAACCCAATCTGCAAACTCCCTTATAGGCATGCCCCAGAGCTTTGGTTCCTAAGTGACGATAAATAATGTCAAGTTGGCAATATTAACCATCACACTGAGCATGCCCAAAGGATGTCAACCTTCCCCGACTCTAACTCAACTCCTGCTCTATGACCCTGAGCTCTATGACCCTGGAAAGCGTGCCCACCCTCCTTCCTTCTTGAATTCTGACCTTAAACTGAGTATGCTTGGGAATGTGCTTCCAATACTACCCGGAGGGCTTTCCTACTTGAAAGTATGCCATACAGGCTCCCCAATAAAATCTTCACACTTCCTTTGCTGGGGAGAGCATTACTCTTGGAATAACACCCATACCTTCCTTACCTCAAGTAGCATAGCCTTCCCCCAAGCTTTTGCCTCTTGGCTACACTTGTTTGGGCTTTGGCCTGAGATGGGAACCCACTACTGTCTCGTGTCTCGTTGCTCACCTAATCTTCCACCCTAGGGATAAATCAGAGATGCCACATTTTCCCAACCAAAAGGATGGTTCTGAGTAGTCCAGTGCCTCTTCCACACAGAGGCCTAGATGCAGTCGGTTGCCCGGTGGGTGCAGCAATCACCTCCCGGAAGAGAGGTGGGTGGCAGATACTAGGAAGGGCAGTTTACAGAGCACCAGATCACTGTGGCTGCATCCACTACAAGTGTAGACACTGCTCTAGCTCCGACCAGGGTGTCTCTGAGTGCAGATCTGCAGTGGGTCTGCTCCTGCTGGAAGCTGCATGCAGCCCTGGAGGCTAAGCAGCTCTACTGCCCTCCCATGCTTCAGTGAGAACATCCTTATGGTGTTTCCCCAACCAAATGATAGCTGTCATAGCTCAGGACTGTCTCCTCAGACTACAAGCCACAGCACTTTCCACACCCAGCTAACAGGGACTCCCTTTAGTCATGTCAGCTTCCCAAGGCTGTTGGAACCGATGGCCACAAGCTAATAGCTCTCAGGGGAGGAAAGTCATTGTCTTATGGTTCTGAGGGCTAGAACCTTGAATTCAGGTGTTAGTAAGGCTGATTTTGATGGAAGCTCTGGAAGAGAGCCCTTTTATTATTTTTAATTCTACATGTATGTGTGTCTGTGCATATAAGTGCAGGACCCATGGTGGCCAGAAGAGGGCGACAGATCCTTTGGAGCTAGAGTTACACGTGGTTGTAAGCTGTCCAACTGCTGAGCCATCTCTCCAGCTCCATGGAAGGGAACCCCCCTATGCCTCTCTTGAAGCCCAGGCCTTCCACACGGACTTCCTCCTTCATGCTTCCCATAATACTAAGACAAGCATGTTTGTCTTGATTTTAGCACCCTAAAAGTAGCATCCCATGAGAGAAGCTGGCCCAGAGCTTGTCTTGGCCTCTCTTTAATCCTGATCCATACCATAGGCACATATAAACTCTCCTGCTGGGAGCCCCCACCCACCCACACAAGCCAGGGAGCTCAGCCAGGATGACACCAAGGTCACAGCTTCAAGGATTCTTCAAAGTGCTGTGTCCTGGACAGTGATTGGTCCAAGGAGGAAACACGTCACCCAACCAGAATTTCCCATCACTGGGTCTCAACTAACCGACATGTGGACAGAATCTGTCAGAGATCTTTTACTGAAGAGTGGGGGGGGGTGCCTGTCTCTCTGTGTATCTGCACACACACACCCATGTAGAGATCAGACACCAGGTGTCTTCTATTACTCTATACCTTATTCCTTGAAGATGATCTCTCCCTGTGTTTAGAGCATGGGCTGCTCTTCCAGGAGACCCACGTTCAGTTCCCAGCACCCACCACTCAGTGGCTCAAAATGGCTTGCAAATCTCCTGGAGGTCCAGAGCGACCTTCTGCCTCCTCAGGCACCAGGCATGCAAGCGGTAAACCAACATGCATACAGGCAGAATGCTTATACACACAAAATAAACATGACTTTTCAAATTTAAGACACGATCCCTCACTGAACTTGAAGCGCAACCTGGGGCTGCCAGACTGACTAGCCAGCCATCTCCCAGGATCCACCTGTCTCCACCCCTCGCAGGCACAAACAGCCATGCTGGGCTTTTTACATGGGTGCTGTGGATTTGCATAGATATGCACAGCAAGCAATGTTTTGTTTTGTTTTGTTTTTCAAGACAGTGTTTCTCTGCATAATCATGGAACTCACTCTGTAGACCAGGCTGGCTTCAAACTCACAGAGATCCACCTGCCTCTGCCTCCCGAGTGCTGGGATCAAAGGTGTGCACCACCATCACCAGCCCGGCAACATCTGGCACTCTTAACTCACTGAGCCATCTCCCTTCCCATAGGGCGTCTTTGAGCCTAGCTTTCTTTCTACAAAGCCATAAGGGTCTCAATGTGTCTGTGCTGGATCATTATGTCAGCTCAAGACAAGCTAAAGTCATCTGAGAGGAGGGAACCTCAATTAAGAAAATGCCTCCATAAGACCTATTAGTGCATTTTCTTAATTAGTAACGGATGCGGGGAGGATCCAACACATTGTGGGTGGTGTCACGCCTGGGCTGGTGGTCCTGGGTTCTATAAGAAAGCAGGCTGAGCAAGCCAGTAAGCAACACCCCTCCGTGGCCTCTGCATCAGCTCCTGCCTCCAGGTTCCTGCCCTGCTTGAGTTCCTGTCCTGATTAAAGGTAATGATGAACTGTGATGTGGAAGCATAAGCCAAATAAACCCTTTCCTCCCCAACTTGCTTTGGTCATGATGTTTCATCAGTAGTAATAGCAACCCTGACTAAGACAGCGTCTAACATACTCCTGAGAGTGAAAACAATGGGAATGCAGAGGCATCATCAGGTGGATGAAGACTGTTTTCCGGACATGTATTTGAGCACCTAGATCCAACAAGAACCGAGGATGTCCCTGAGCTGTCCAGTTCCGTGAACCAGTGATTCCCCGTAAGCCACTGCAGTCAAATATTAACTGACAAAATCCATCCAGTCTCTCCCATTTCTGCCTCGCAGAGGACCAGCTGAAATCTACCCCACGTTCACAGAAGTCACACAAAAAAAAGTTAGCCCGGCAATCCAAGGGCAAGAGGAGGGGCTGGAGAAAGGCTGCTTAATATTCTTCCCATCCTTGTGAGGAAAGAAGGCAAATATTGAATCAAGGAAATCTCTGGAAACAGTCAGAGAGCTTGCCTTTGTCGCATCCATCACTTTGGTAATAAATATTAATAAACAAACCTAGGCCAGAAAAAAAATGCAATTCATAACTCAAAAGTAGCCTGACCTTTTATGGAATTAAACTCATTTTCTGTCCAGCCTGCTATTTGTAGAATGTTCCTGGTGACATACATTTTCACAGATCTACCAAAGACGCTTCCATCGGGGTCTTTACAGCCGCTCATGAGCCACAATAAGATGTTTTCTTCTCTCTTAGACACACACGGGGATTCATTCACTCTCATGTATGGGATCTGTCCTGTCTAAGGACACCTGTCTGCAGCCAGAGTGCTCACAGCCACCAAGACAGGACACACAAGCAGATCCACTCTTGGAACCTAACCTACATCACACTTATTCTTCTACCATAGAACTTTCTTCCAAGTTCTAGACCCACAGATGAATGAATACTTGAAATCATCTTTTAAGGGTCCCAAGGATGGGGCCAGAGAGATGGCTCAGTAGTTAAGAGCACCTGTTGCTCTTACAGGGACCAAAGTTTGATTCCCGGAACCCACATGGGGGATCACAACCATCTATAACTCCACTCCCAGGGGATCCAACCCCCTCTTCGGGCCCCTGCAGACACTTCATGCACATGGTACATATACATACACACGTGGGCAAATCATCCATACATATAAAATAATCTAAAAGAAAGAAAGAAAAAGAATCTCAATGACAATCATTCTTAAAGTGTTCATGGCTGGGAGACAGAGTCAAGCAGATCTCTGAGTTAGAGGCCTGTCTGGTCTACATAGTGAGTTCCAGGACAGCCAGGACTACATAGAGAAACCCTGTCCCAAAACTCTACCAAAAAAGAATAAAATGTTCCTGGCTGAACTAAGCCTCAACCCACCCATAATCACAAATAAAGCCACCCCATATCTCTTGTCCCCTTTCAGAAAGGACTACCAGCCATAAAGGCAAGAATCGGGCACACACCTCAACACTTGCATGGAGTTCACAGGACACCTCTCAGGAGCCTGTTCTTCCATGGTGGCTTCTGGGGACCAAGTCAGGTCACCCGGCCTGTGCGGCTAGCACTTTTATGGGCTCAGCCATCTTCCCACCCCCAACTTCTTTACTTTCTAATATTCAAATCTATTTCCATCCTCATTTGACCAGACTAACTTTTTTTTTTTTTTTTTTTTTTTTTTTTTTGGTATTTTGAGACAGGGTTTCTCTGTAGGTTTGGAACCTGGCCTGGCCTAGCTCTATAGACCAGGCTGGCCTCGAACTCACAGAGATCCACCTGCCTCTGCCTCCCGAGTGCTGGGATTACAGGCGTGCGCCGCCACCACCACCCGGCCCAGACTAACTTTTCAACAGTAGTCAGTGATCCCTCTCAAACCACCCCCATCCCCCAACTGAGGAGGGCGCCTGCCCTGGTTCAAGGACAGGGAGGTTAGCTGTCACCCTGGGGTTCTCTGCAGGGACAGAGGCGCAAAGAACAGGAAGCAAACAAAACTCTCATCATCCACCCACGTGGGTTGTTCCTGAGTATCATCACGGCGGCTCCCAGAGTTCCTTGGGGTCAGTGGCAGGATGAAGTGGGGTTCTGATGGTCCTCCCACTAGGCTTGAAGCCAAGAGAACTTTCAGAAAGCCACCTTCATCCCATCTTCTGAGGCCCAAGGCAGTGAACTCAAGTGCCTCCAGGGACCAGGCAGGGATACACAGGGGGCTTGGTGGGTGGACCCCCCGGTGAGCTGATAAAAAGTGCTGGGATTAAAGGCGTGCACCACCCTTACATCTTTCATTATTGATAATGACTGTGGATGTGGTGTGACCAGCTGGAGCCCTTGCCTTGACGTCCCTGCTATGATGGACTGTAACCTGGAATTATGAGA